TTACTTTAGTTCTACACAGCTCGTGGCAAATCATACATGGGTCAATCTGGACCCCGCTTTATAAAGAGTAGATATTCAATCGCAACTATGTACATATGCTATAGCCGACTGCAAACTTGTGATTTATTAGAGGACTTTAATACGTCTGATTTGGATCAATCGCAACTCTTTAAAAGACAGGGTCCTGAGAGTAAATATTTGTATTTTATACATATTTTTTGCAAATAATTAAGGTATGACAATGATTAAGAATCATATTTTTGTATCAATGACAACTCATAAAAATGTGACATATTACATTTTATATTTAAAAGTATTCAACGAAGGTCGCAATTCAATTAGTGCTCCTTTCGTTCTTCAGTTACAAAATAAAAACAAACATCAAATTTCCAACATATGCCTAATTTAGTTGTCAACTATATTAAAGGGATCCGGTAACTTTGTCTCAGATTCTGAAACAAAATTCTGGATTTAGCTCATGATGCAATGATAATTATAAACCTTTAGGTCAGTCAGGAACCCCATGAATTTTACAAGCCGATCGCCTGTCTGATTATCAAGATATTTATGATTGGAATTACAAATTTTGAAAACCGTTCGCCTGACGGTTTTCATAACACTATAGTCTATTGGGGAAAACGAGTATGGTAAAACCGGTCACTCCGGCAAAGATTTTTTTTACTTTTTTGAGGCACTTCTTGATCATTTTGAAGCGCAATTTGTTTAGGGCTTCAATATTACACCACATCACAGACACTGATAACATGTAGGGCCGTGTATCTCAGATTTAACATTGTTAAACGATCCCTTTAACTAAATTAGCAACTAAGTTAATCACATCCCTTGTAAATTTGAAATCGTTTGTGTTTTTCGTAAATCAAGAACAAAAGGAGCAAAATTGAATTGCGTCCTTTGTTGAAAAATTTTAGACTGTTGTGTGTACGAACACTGTTCCCCTGTAGAGATTCGTATTCATGTATTTTTGGCATTATGCCATTAAGAAACTGAAATAAATCAAAGCCGTACCTATAATGATAATTTATTTTTCCAGTATTTTTGGAGAACTTTAAAAGCAATATGTAATAGTAATAGTATTTGATAACTCTATTTCATGAATCGTAAACAAAAAATTGTCAGATACAAACTGTTACAAATTAAAAGCGTGAAAATAGATGCAAAAGAGGACCTCTTTGCACATCATTGAATGCTTACATAATGGGGAAGAGAAAATATAAACAAAACAAAAGAGATAGAGTTTTGTTCTATCTAACGTATCAAATTTGCAAAGCAATAACTGAGATGCGTCTTCAAATAACGCAAGGTCGGAGTATGTATGTTATCACACTGCTGCGTGTGTTAAATTATAATAATAATTATATTGTACAAATACTTAATGTTGAGAATAATCAAGATGGGAATAATGTGAGAAATACTTTATCAATTTTTTGGACAGCAACTCGAGTTTTACCCAGGGAATAGATGTAATATGGTGGTATTTGATTTATAGATTTTTACACGGAACAAACGAACCTATTTCAATACATTTCAATACATACTTTTGAATATTTGTATACATAGTGTTGAAGAGTGCTTTTGTAATTAGATTCATCAAGCTTATTTATTATATATTATATTTGTAACTATGCAAGTAATGATTAGTTTGGTGAAATAAAAACACGATATAGGTATATTTTACTGCGACATGGCCCTGAGTTTTAATTACGTGTCAATGGAGTTTTACACAAAGATGTATGATTAACATTCCCTTTAAAGTGTACCATGATCACCTAAATATAATTCATGTGTGCAGCTACAAGTTTAAAACGAACATAAAATTGTTAATCTGGGCCCCGTTTTACAAAAAGTATCTATCTATCGCAACTTATTTGCGATTGATATCTGTGTTCAGAGAGGTGATAGTGAGAGGGGAGAGGGAGAGAGGGCGAGAGGAGGGCACTAAAGAGAGAGAGAGAGAGAGAGAAGAGAGAGAGAGAGAGAGACAAAGAGAGACATTAACAGATATACAAAGAGAGAGAGAGAGAGAGAGGGGGGGAGAGAGAGGGAGGGGGGGACACTAAAGGTAGACAGAAGGAGAGGGAGGGGTAAAAATGAAAAAAAAAGGGATGAGAGTCATGATGGTAGAGAGAGAGAGAGAGAGAGAGAGAGAGAGAGAGAGAGAGGGGGAGGAGGGGGGGGGGGGGTGTATAGTTGCTTTCAAACTGGCAAACGTAATGTGTAGTTTCTGATTCTCATATTAAAATATGCCGATGAAATATAGAAAGAAAACAAAAGGAAAAGAAGAAAGAGAAAAAAAGACCCCACCCCCGCCAAAAAAAGCATGGTGATCTCCTTTGTTTGGGGTCTAAAGATTGCAAGCATAGTTACCACCATATATGGGCCTCTTCATATTCCACTCTCCTTTTTGTTCAGTCTTTGAATGTCAACACTTATGTGAGGTACTCACATTCTTTGTGTGTGTGTGTGTGTGTGTGTGTGTGTGTGCGTGTGTGCGTGTGTGTGTGGGAGGGGGGGGGGGGTTCGGGAGGTCCCTTTTGATAGAATTCATGTTTACCTACTACCATTTACTTTGTGAAATCATTGCAAAATGTGAAATATATATGTGAAATATGAAACAATAGAAAAATGAAACTGAAACTGAAAACTAGAACCTTACGAATTTGCTGAGTTTGTACAGTGACGTTCCTGAAAGAAATTATAATGTAATGAATATTATGGAGAACCCGGATGTCCCCCAGCAATCTGCGTTTAAATACATAAAGAAAAGGATGATCCTTCCCCCTCCCCATCCCCTAAAGAAAACTAACAACCAAACGAAAACAGGTAATGTTTATATAGGCCTATGTGCATTTCATGTATATTTGGTTCCGTTGTTAGTAAAGGTGCAATGTGTTATTTTTTAGATATATTGAAATGTCTTATCTTCAAAATCCCTAAAAAAAGGGACAACATTTACACTGATTCTCTATATTTCATGGCTTCATAGACATACAACATGTATTGCCTGGATATACGGGTCCACTTTATATCATTGAACAATTCTTGTGTGAGTCATCGGCTTAATTATCTACATGAAAAACGCGAAGCTACCCCCTCCCCCAGAAAAAAAAAATCCGCAAACAATTTAATCTGAAAAGGAAAGGTCGACACAAGAAGGCATTTTAAAACTGTGGTGACAAAAACTATAATTTCATCGAATAGTACAGTTCGTATCCTGAAATTGTATTATTATTATTTCCTTTATGTTTAGTTGTTGTATACATTATTGAGGAATTGCGAATAATAGTCTGTCCAGATAATTGACAGATAAGTGTTGACAGCTGGTTACACCAGCAGTCTCTGTATTAAAGATGAAGTTGAGTTCTGGTCATGCGATTGCATTGTGAAAAAAAACGGTGTGGAATCGACCAGAAAAGGTTGATCATCTAGCATATATAGAATTTGTGTGTATTGCAAGGTTCTGGAATCATCAAAATGATAAGAAATTTGGGTGAGTCTTGGTAAAGTTACAAACACTGTGCACAGAAAGATGTGTATGGGACTACACGAACACGTGGCGTAAACAACCTACCCTGGATTTTTACGATGTTACATGACATATTTAGAATATGAAGGCATTTGAAGAGCCATGCTTTTCAGGGAACATGTCTTATCTGATGTTCTTCCACACTTGCATAATAAGAATAACGCTCACAAATTATTGTTCACCTCTTCCCAGAACTCAACCTTCTCTTTAAAGGAGAGTCCCAAGTAGGACAATCACATTGGATCGCTGCTGCGGTTTTGTTATGATAGCCTACGTACATGACCTATTACGCTATGTGTTGCAATACCATTTATATTGATATAGAAATCCCTGTCTTTCTTGTAAATTTCGAAAGACTATTCGCTTCTGTTTCGGGTTTTTTTTCTTCAAAAGAGGCTTTTTCAATATTAATACTTTAGGCTAAATCAGATTCAAGTAGAAGCGACAAAATACATCACAACTTCATCCGACTTTGGTAGATTACGTAATGGAATTTAACTGCTTCAAATCGCACACCGCTTGATAAACTTACTGAACAACGAACAGAGGGAAATCCCCCTTTCAATGAGGTCACACATTGCTACACGAGCCTAGTCTGGGAACGCAGACCCTAATTTGATAGTACACAAACTATACTGCTTGTGTTGAGTCTAAACCAGGCTCCCGGAGCAGGCATTCACTAAAAGAAAGTAAGTACACTTACTAATAGTACAAATCATGGTCTTTGCTGAAGAAAAAAAATGGTTTGCTTCGATTTGGTTTGAATTTTGGTAGAAAATGTATACTGGCTGAGTAATGAGCATAGAAAGATTCGGAAATCAAGGTTGGTAGTCTCGACACCATTTTTGTAGTCCCATATACATCTTTATGTGTACAGTGCTTGTTACCGTACCAATACTGGGCCAAATTTATTATGATTTTGATGACTCCAGAACTTTGCAGTACATACCAATACGTCCATGCTACATGATCAACTTTACCTGATCCATTACACACCTTTTCTTTCACAATGCAATCGGATGACCAGAACTCATCTTTAACTTGACAACGTATATAGCCCATGAAAGCTCGAGAATTTATTCACAAAGAGGTCGTATTTAGAGAATCAGTATTGATCCTGTTGAATATTTGCAGTATCAACAGATATATAGAATATTAACAGCGATGTTTGATAACATTGATGATATCTTTTTAAACAAGGACATTCTCAAGAATATGATTATTACAAGTTACAACTCTACAAAGCTGATATTATGTGACCTTGGCTGCATCTTCGGACATGGGTTCTCATCTGCAGACTACGAATAACCTTTGTGACATCACAGAAAACTTCGCATGAATAGCACAGACAGAGTCATACAACTTTGCACTTTGCACTGAGGCCCAGTTTTGATTTTATGTCAGTTCTGGAATTATATCGAATTTTCTCTCTTGCTTGGTAATTGCACTTAGTTATGACGAAAACCAAATTCCTATATTTAGATCAATTAAAAAATCCCAATTTGTGTATTGATACTTTCGTTATCAGTAAGCACCCCCACTAGTATAAAGCATTTCGCAAACGACTTATTGGTATTTCAGACGGAAGTTACTGCAGACAATGTCATATAAATAGAAAGGTCTTAACGTAAGAATTATTAGTCCAACACGGAAATTTATTTCCTCCCTCTAATTATCATCGCCTATATTAATTCTCAAGAAATATTCATGCAAGGCATACTCTTCAGTTTGGCTTCGATATAATACTCCACAGTCTGCAGTCGACACGGACACATCGTGCAAGATTTCTCCGTTTTACTATCATTTCGGAAGAATATACAGTGGAGTTTTTTTTCATTATGAAGGTAAGTCTAACGAAAGAAAAAAATCCTCGTATATCGCTTATTTGACGAACCGCATGCAAATGTTGTTTGGGAAACAATAACAATAAAATATGACTACTAACCAATAGAAAAGGCGCTTATAGAAACTGGACTCATGATTAATAAGATGAAAAGGAGAGTTATCATTGGAATGACTGACTGTCCGACTATCCGATTTCTCTCAAACTTTAGTTTCATCATCCTTTTTCCCTGCACGTGTTTCTGTTTTTGCACAAATCAACTTATTACCAGAGTAAGATTGATCTTTATTAATCTATAATGTTTCAACATATGTTTCAAGAATATGTGACTTTTTTTTTAACATGTGGTTCAGTCATTATTTGATTTCGTATTGCAAAAAAAGAGCATGTACTAGGTATTCTAAAGTTAAGCCTGTGTACACGCCTCATGTTAATTGTGTGACCTCGGGCTCATATCATGCATAACACCATAGCAATATCATGTACTGATCGGAATCTCCCTCTCATGTTGTGTCATTACAATGCATTATTTTGCAATGACAGGTACTGTTTCATAATTTGTATACAATTTTTGACACATACTGTATGTTCGGTCTCACCAATCATGCGAGGCTTATTGGGAATTTCGACATTGAAGTGAAAGAAACCCCGAAAATCACGAATAAATAAACAATACACAGTAGCTCTATGTTCTTGATACGAACAGCTAGATACCTAAATGTTCCATTTGTATTCGCCCATTTTTATTTTATAACTGTAGTCCATACAAGTCCTCAAAATGGTGCGATCGCCAAGCGGTTTCTCGCTACTTATTCTCGTTCTTTTCGGCTTCTCCGGACAGATGTCGTCAGCTACCGCCGGGGTGATCCCGCTGGGGTTCCTGAATGTGCTCGATGAAAACACGACGTCTTTTGAATGTGGCAATGGTTCATACAAAGATATCATACGCCTGGCAACTGGACGAGAAAGGTAATTTCTACCACATTTTTATTGTTGTTGTTGTTGTTGTTGTTGTTGTTGTTTGTTTGGACATTGTGGGCGGCAGATCTGGCAGAATACGCAAATCTGAAGTAATAATAATAATACTCAGTTGTTATATAGCGCTTCCAATGTTGGAGATTATTACCCCGGCTTTAGCTGTGCTGCCATTAAAGTATTGTCATTAGAATACCCTGAATCTAGAAATAAAGTTTATTTACATGCATATACTTACTTTATTTGGTTTATTTATTCATGATTTCTTTCAACAGGGTAATTTTATTCAGTTCCATATGAAGCCAGTGGAACTGATTTTCAAGAAAGCCCTTCATTATATAATAAATAACAGTAACATAAATATAACAATACACACATTAACAATAGTACATACATGTAACATATCAAAATAAACATATATTTTGTAAAAGTATCACTATTTGAATCATACAATATTTATTACAAGTTATTTAAAAATACATACTGAATTACTACACTATTACACACCCCTAAAACATAACAGAAACAAAATAAATTAATCGAGATACTAAAATAACTACAAAGAAATAGAACAGATTAGGCCTATTGCACTTTTGAAAGTTAACGATGAAGTTTTACAATCACATTAATTGTGTTTTTTGCTATGTTAAAGACATGGGGTATATGCAAAAATGCGCTCAAAGGTTACAGAGTCACAGTAAATGTATACAGACAAGGCGGCATTGCTTTTTGAACAAATTTAGATAGATAGATAGATAGATAACTGGTTTATTAATGAAAAAACGTCATCGCGGCACAGCCGAATTGCGATGAGTTTACAAATATTCCTTTTAAAAATATATAAAATCATTTGTACAAACATTTAAAATACCTTCGGAAATATGAATTCAAAAACATATTGCATATTACAAATTTTAACTGCATCAACAATTGATATTTAATGTAATTGATATTATTGTAATGATGTACTTATATACTTCTTTTGTTAATTTGTACTATTTATTTCAACATGCATTCATTAAAATGACTCTTACTACTCAATAGATTAGACGCGTGATGCTAAGAAGAATGTGATAATGAAATTTCCTTCCATTTTTCAACATTCGCATTTTAACAAATTTCGGAGGTTACAACCCTCGCTCGTTCGCGCTACTTCCCGATTACATGAATCATTTTTTTGGGGGAATACCCCACTATATAATAGTTTCGTAACATTATCATGACAGACACTAATACTTGAGGGTTGTTTCGCAACATGCAAGGCAGACAGTCCCAGTTATTGTACTTCTCCGCATCGGTAACCTCCTTCGTTTTGTATAATAGATGACAATAATTGATGATCTCATTTCGTATTTGTATAGCTTCTCTTGACTCGTATTGAATAAACACCCATTGACTCATAAAGATTTTTTTCTCCCTTTTGGGAAAACCCAACTAACTATGGCGTAAATACATAGAGGGCTGTGCCGTACGTGCATTGTGTATAAAGTTCGAAGTCCTAGGCAATTATCCTTCTCCGGAACAATACTTCCTTTCGTTTTTTCCAAAAGATATGTGTTCATACTGATCAAATACAATACATCTCGTGGTTGGTCCATTGTTATCTTTATTTCCCCATTCTCAGTGTGACCCTTAAAGGTACTATGTACAATTTGCAGGCCCCCCCCCAAACAAAAAAACAAAAAAATAAATAAATAAATAAAAAAATGAAAAGGTTAAATTCCAAAGGCATTTGAAAGATAATACTAATTTAGAACTTTCCTAAAAAGGGGGCTTGAAAATGTCTTTAAGTGGGAAAATAACGACAATTAGTTATACAGTAAGTAATAGTCTGATTTTCAAACCATTGTAGCGAATGGTCGTACGTTTTGGGCTGCGCAAAGATTCAATCAGTTTAATTTTGACCATTACAATAAGTGGACTATTGATGTAGACAAATGCTCATGTACCATTTTCAGCTCATTTTAGGAATGTTATTACCAAAGAAGAAGAAAAAAGCCAATCAGTTACTGAATAGTATCTGACAGTGAAGTCTAGCAAGTCAACGGGTTTTGTTGCATAATTTGAATATTTAAATTTCACAGAATATTAAATTTCACAGATAGGACATACATGACATATAGGCTATTCATAATTCCTGCAAATTTTACAGAATTTGATGTTGGCTGCAAAAGGGACATAGTACCTTTAATATGGAAGCACGCGGATGGAACGGAATTCATCTTTTTTACTATTTGATTTTGATTTTTTTTTTAAAATTTCAATGTACCATTAATGTTTTCATGCTGAATTTGAAATTTGAACCTGAACATTATTTCTCCCTGTTTAAGAGATCAACGCAGGTAATCTAATATAGAGATTTTACATATTTTTTAGCAAATAATGAAAGTAGCCTACGTACAAATATCATAGTTAGACTGTAATACACTTTCCACAATAGAATCAGACATTAATTCACATAAAACATTTTGAAAAGTGGAGGGATTATTAGAAACGGTTATTTATACAACTTGGGAATTACCCACTAACAATTATGTTTGTATATCAAGTTCAACAAATCACATGCCTCAATCATGCCGATATCACGCGGGGGCTCCATTTTATTTACTTTGTTTTCAGCCCTATTATAAAAAGGCTCAAAGTTCATTTGCATGAGAGCAAAAAAGTAAGAGAAGCTGATCGGAGGAAGTACAGCAATAAGTCAACCAACAAAAATCACGAGGTTCATACCGCCGTCCGCCTTCTTTAAGTTTCTTACTCTGAACAAAATCAGATACATAATAAGAAAGTTATGAATGTTTGAACTATGGAATCACAACATCTGTCCAAATCACAAATTCGCAATATAGTCAGTGGATTGTGACGTATCGCGGATATTAAACTCTCCCGTTTGTAGTGTACAACGAATATTATATTTTGTTGTCTCCCGTTTTTCTCCCAAGCGCCTTTTCCCTCAAACGGCGCACTAGTTTACATGTATAATCACTTCTCTCGTGATTGTCCAATTTATATATAATCTTATTTGAAATCGGGAATACCGGGAATGTGAGTCTTTCCTGCAATTATCTTGTTTTCTAACCATATGTGCCCGTGATAAGAAAGATAAAAATGCCACATACTATCAAAATTCGAATCAACTCAAAGTAAATGTGAAAAAAATTCGTAAATAGTGGCTGAATCACCTGTTTCGGAATGCCTTTTTAACGAAATCTTAAAGGCTCTCTGCACTACTTGTAGCTACTTGCGCCCTCTATATAACAAACAATGCCTAATCGGTGACCATTGGTCCCCCATGATCCTCTTTTTCTTATGTTAACTGATAGCTGAGTTGATGAGATAACCACCTGTCCAGTGACCTTGCAGGGCGCTCTAATCCCTCTTGTAAACTATGGCAGATAAGCTTTAAGGGGAAAGTTCATTTTCATATGCAGCCAGCCAGCCACTGTTTCTTGGAATAACTTGCCGGAATATTTTGGAAATATAGAAACATACGTCAATGTCATGACTAATTTGAAAACATATCTATTTGACATATCTTCATCTCTCCTCTTTTACAATAATATAATATGCACTCCTGATCCTCTAATGAATTGAACTTATTATCGTCACTCTATTATTAAATCCCATAAAGCCACGTGTGCAAGCCGTGCTTCCAGTGCCCTTGTGGAGTCAAAGTATTACGTCACTGCAGCTCAACAACAGATACGGAGTGCACTGAACAATGCGAGGAGAGCAACGCTGTCTTCAATCAGACGCTGGGGGCATGTGTTTCATTACTCGGAGTGGTAAATTGCTCACGACATGGTAAATATCATTATAAAATCCTTGTTTAATTTATGATATAAACATATGTTAGTGTACTCACGTTCACCCATTCATAACAAGTTGGTAAACAGTTATATTGGCGAATATTTATGTAGCCAGTTTAGATCCATAATAGGCTACATTGTTTGTCGTCGATAAAAAAGGTACTTGGATATTAGATTGTTAGATTAACAAACTTATCTCGAGATTAAATATACTGTAACAAGAAAATTCAAAGTTGCTGTAATTTGAAAGGGTGATGATTCCTATATCAGTTATTAAAAAATGTTGACAATCCACTTCCCCTATCCTCTGCAGCGGAGCCCCAATCTTCGGACTACACTACAACAATGGTAGTGTCAACCTACATGTATGGCACGGACTTCGGAACTGAATCGGGAGGTGATCTTTCACCTCTTCGTGCATTCGGCACCTCTCTGGGTATCATCGTCTCTCTCTCTATCGGCACAATTGCGATTATTTTGATCGCTCGAAAAAAGTAAGTCTGACCTTTGTTTACAATTTCGAATGTCTTCTTCGCTTTTATGCACGGTTTATTGTTTGCCACATGTGCAAGTTTACACAAAGATTGCTTTGCGCAACGCAAGGCCTAACAACAAAAAGATGTTGTATTGATCTTTAGGTGTCAAAACATGGGTCGGTGTGTCGTATTTAAAAAAAAAAAAACTTTTTTATTCTCCTTCTTTGGACTGATATTTCTCAGTTTTGAATGCTTTAATAGATATTTTTGTATTCATTAAACATTTTTCTTTTCTTCAAACGTTAAGAAAAAAACTTTTTTCAAAATTTGACTGTAGATTTCAAGTTTTTTGATTCGGTCGCAAAAGGCAATACAACATCTTTTTTTGTTGTAAGCCCAATGGCTAAGCAAAAATTACCCATTTCCATTCTTGATTAGCTCCATGACAACCTTTTTAAATCCCGGTATAGATTAACCTCCCACTTGAAGCAGTTGTCTAAAACTTGAAGATTTTTGTATAGCGATCCTATTAATTTGAGATCACCGAGGAGCATATAGATTTAACTTTGCCCCCCAAATGCAATCAATATTTGTATATTTTGTCGATAGATGATCTTGATAACGGATCCAGGATTCTTTAACCGGGGTTATTACATTTTCCAGGTGCCTTCTGTAGTTAATCATGAGTATATAAGATATAATTTGGGATTTTTTCTTTTTTATAAAAGATTCGGCACAATATGGGTATTTTCCAAATATGTATTGACATTTTACACATATTGTGTAAGGAAAGGATGTCATATCTTTCATTATTTTAACCTTTCTGCCCTTTCTCTTCTTTTAATAAGGGGGTATCTCAAGGGATTCTTCAAGAAGCCAGACTGTACAGGGTCATCTCCATGCAATATCATAAGAACATCATCTCCAAAAATATCCAGGAGTTTGGTTCGCCGGAAGTACGAAACCTTGTTACAGAGACTGAGCAATGTCTTTACAGAGGAAGCGACACCAGTGGGTGACAGAGGCCTGCAGATGTCAATAGCAAGCATTCCAATGGCAACTGAAGAAGAGCCTCTGATGATGACGTCTTTGAATCTCCCTTTAGCTGAAGACATCCAGGTGAGCCATGATGGTGAAGAGCCATATTGGTTGGTGATGCGTGGTTGTTTTACATCTAGAGGAGGGGTGCTCCGATGCAAGGACTCGGACGTCTTCTTAGAAATCCCACCAGGCGCGATACCAGAATCAGTGGAGCGACAGGAGATAGTGGCCAAAGTAGCTTTGGTCACATCCAGATTCGATTTCAAACTCAAGAAGGACGAAGTGTGTCTGTCTCCTGTTGTTGAACTTCTTTCGCCTGGTCTAGATGCTTTTGATGACCTGATAGTCATCCATATCCCGCATCGAGCACGTATGGATCCTGATTGGAGCTTTAAGGTTCACTTTACGCGTTCTCATGGGAAGACAGAAGGTGGTTGGCAGGCGGTAGATGAGGAAGAGGAGTACAATCCTGAGGACTGTAAACGTGTTGCCTGTCAGCGGTCTCCATCAGTCGTTACCTTTCGGACTAACAAGACCCACTTTGTCATCAGGACTCCACACTTCTCCAAATACGCGTGCTCTGGTTGCGGAAAGAAAAGGTACCTTAATCTTGAGGCCCTAGTGTCCGCCAAGTATCAGAATCTCCCCAACCGGCAGCAGGTTGACCTGAACTGCTACATTGTGGATACCATCAAAGACTCATGGCATAGGGTGAAAGAAAACGAAGGACAGCGTCCTCAATCGGACAAGCATCCAATTCATCTGAAAAGCAAGGAACCACTCTTAGTGTCACTGATGACTGACAGCACAGCAATAGGGGAAGAGTGGGCCTGGACGCCCGAGACCTACGGGGGAAAGAGACCAACAAGTGTGGTAAGCTCTTTGCTTAACATAGTACCTTTTTTTTTATAGAGCACCTTTAAAAGGAATAGCCATAATTTGACTTAATTTCAGTTTTACATAATCATCATTTCCTGGTAGTTGGTGATTCAATTTTAAAACAACTATCCTATAGGAGTTATGTATACCCCTAGTCATATCCCGGGGAGAAAGATACCAGGAACAATTCTTCCTACGGACATAGTTAAATTAATAGATGTAGAAAGGAATAAATCACTCGACCGCCCTCTTTGTCAGGTTTCATTAAATCAGTTACCATAGGTTAAAGGTAAATCCAACCCTTTTAACAATTTCATTAATACGAAAGCAGAAATATAAAACAAACATAATGGCGAAAGTTTGAAACGAATTAGACCAATGATGAGAAAGCTATGAATGTTTAGATATGAGATCACTATTATCTGAATAATCATAGTACATCTGATAGTATTCTCTTGAAATTAGATGTTAGATTAAACAATTGTTTGTCTTTATGTTTCATCAGGCGATTCCAATACGGAACATTGTTCGCTGCTGCTCAGACGCCGTGCCCTACTTTGTGACATTTTCGCTGAGGCCCAAGGCATTATTCAACCACACAATACCCACGGCACTCTTTGAATCGATGGTTGTGTACCAGCAGAAGGGGTCGAGCTCAGAGCTACCCATATCCATCGCTTTCGATCTACAAGACCAACACAATGTAGGTTTATAAACAGACTGCTAATCTGTGTAATTTTTTTTTTTTTTTTTTTTTTTTTGGGGGGGGGGGGGATCTCATTGGTTTAAAGTTAAGTTAGTGATAAAGATTACCATCAGAAATGTGGTGCACAAATAATTTTGAAATTGGACGCCTTGTCCTTCGCCGTCCTTATCACACTTTTATAACAAATTGTCCAGAGTCCTTATCTTTATATCTTTAACTTACGCATTCAAAACAACATTCTAATTGTTGTTGGATATCGATGTGGTCTACACACAAGAAAGATTGAATAAAGATTTCCCGACCGATTTACTTTTAAATTTTTTTTTTAGTGTGGGGTTTTGTTTGTCTGCATGATTGTTTTTTTCTTATTATTCTTAATCTTACTCTTTTATACTCTTACCCTTACTCCTTCTCTTACTCTATCTATTACTTCTACTCCTACTCCTACTCTTACTCCAACTCTGACTCTTACTCTTATCATGCGCGGATCCACATGGGAGGAGGGATGGTGACAGGCCTGCCCCCTTGGCAACAAAGTTTGACAAAGTTTGAAAAAGGTGGTAACCATTTCCGCCCTTATTGGAAAATCCTGGATTCGCCATTGACTCATACTCTAACTCTTACTGGCTTACTTTAACTCTTATTCTTGCAGACGGTACCATCGCTCTCATCGGTGCCATCATCCCCGAAATGCACCATCAATGACCTCATTGGAAAAGTTGCCAAAAAAATTCCTGTAAACAAATGGAAGGACCTCCTTCGCTGTCTCCTCAGTGGTGAGGACGACGTCGAGACCCTGGTCGACGAGCTACATGTGAAGTACGACGTCGGCGAGGTCAACCACCAGATGCTACGTATTTGGCTTCAAAGGAGAGGAAAAGACGCTACATGTGAACGACTGAGGCAATCGTTAAAAACTTGTGGGCTTGTCAATATTGCAGAAATGATAGAGGATGGTACACATGAATGTGGATCAGACATCGTTTCGCAATGTTCTTCGAACGTATAATACTGAAGTCACACTGCCTAACCGACTCCACATCAAATCAAAACCGACTGATCTTTTCCACCAGGGATAATGTAATGTTTTGATCGGTCTGTTGCTGGTCTGGTGTCGGTTTGTTCAGTATTACTAAGGTATTCCGTAGAACCGTGATACAACAGGACCGGGGGACAGGGCCTTCTGCTTCTCTGGAACCTAAGCTGTGGAGTAGTCTTCTGCAATCTATCAGGAACGATGAGTCTGGATCTACATTCATGTCAGCCCTAAAGACTTTCCCGTTCCCAGCTGCGAAATCATCTCAAGATTGAGAACGCTAATAACACCTTGAATTGACTTAGATGCAATGACGAAGAGCATTTATCATGTATGATATACTAAAGCAAGGACCTTGAGCGGTAAACAGAGATGGATACCGGCGCTTAACAAAAGGCAATCATCATCATCCTCATTATCATCACCATCATCACCAACATCAACAACGGATGATCATGTCATTATGATATCATACTATTTTTATGTTGTAGCAGGAGCGCCATTTTTCGAATACAGAGACCAAACAAGGATAATGGGGGATAAAATTTATATCAACACGATATTCTAATATTAACATTAATTCCTACCGCTCATCTTTGATTAAACTGAAATACGAGAGGTAGGAAACATTTACGGTATCGAGAGTTACATTACTATGCGAAAATTATGACAAATGCTTATTCCATTGCGAGCGTATGTGCCTTTCACAGGATGACGATCTAAACATGTATAATTCTGTTTCAGCCTATAATTTTGTTACCTCTTATTTTTAAAAATTAATATTTTACTCAGAAGGTACTGTTGAGTAAAGTGTATTTATGTAGTATAGTTTATACTGCAGTTACATAATACTACATTTGCTAAATAATGTTAAGGACTGTTCTATTTGCATTATTTTGTGGCATAGATGGCACAAATAAGCTGCATATGAATTATGCATTCGACAAACTTATTGCTGTGTTTAGCACATTTTCGTTTAAAAGACTACCTCTCATATATATTATCTTAAATAATAATTAATTATTGATAACTTGTTTTCAAGACGTATTGTTAAACAGTCTCTTCTCTGATGAACTTATACTTCAACAAGCTCGATCATCTCCTAGTTGCTTCCTCTTTGCTCGTGCCATTACCATTATATTTGTCTTGTTTCATTGTATATTTTGTTGTAATAAAGTTATATTAAATTGCAATTAACATTGCAATTTCATTGTATTATGTTTTGCATGAGAAAGAAAATCATTTGAATCTTGAACTTTGAAATTGCTTTATGAGAAACACGACACAATGAGAATAGTGATGGTACCCTAATGTACTTCGTGTATTGTGTATTGTATTGTGTATACGTGTATTGTGTGGAGTCAGTATGGAGTCGTTTTGAAGTCGGTGTGGAGTCGTTTTGAAGTCGGTGTAGAGTCGGTTTGGGGCCGGTGTGATTAGATATAAGACCTTACACAACAGCCATCGACATTCAGACAGAAGACAGGCAGAATACCGACAAAAGACCGACAATCAACCGAACCAAAAACAAAAGCAACGACGAAAATAAAAATAGTACAACATTTTAGCCCAAGAAGCCTGTTTTAAAAACATATTGGTCGATTCATGTTGAATACTCAATAACGTAGTCTCGATTCGTTGTAATAGCGCCCCCTCGCTGGATCGTTATAATAAATGGAATTCGGGTATTCTTTGCGTCACCACTATCCCTTGCTTTTTAAGCCAACAACCCCCCTTCCTCTCCCTATCTTTCCCTCTCTCTCTCTCTCTCTCTCTCTTTCCCCTTTTCTCTCTCTTCCTCTCTCTTTCGCTTTCTCTCTTTCTCTCGCCCTCTCTCTTTCTCTCTCTCCCTTTCTCTCTCTTTCTCTCTCTCTTTTCTCTCTCCGTCTCCATGTTTCCTTCTCATTTGTATTCCTCTTTTTCTTCAATGCAGCTGTAAAGGGCACAACAAGCCTATGAACCACAACACCTTAAAAATATTAGGTATACAGTAAGCAAGCGGTATAAATGCGTCCTTCATTGTGGCAAAATTTGAGGGATTTGTGCCCCCCCCCTTTCCATCTTTACAATAATCAGATTCGACACTTGAGAAATTTATAAGGTATTCTCGACACTTACTACTGCTTTGAGTATAATCCATAATCCAGATATATTGCGGTAAAACCGCGGCGGCTTTTTTTTCTGATGCCGTCAGCGGGCGCACTTTCATAGGAAATCAATGTATGGCTGGTTTAGATATGACGCGGAAAGCCCGTTATAAGATTGTTTGAAGAGTATTACACTTTAAGTCACCATTAAAGCCCCAGTGTCCTACTTGTAGCTACTTGCTCCCTCTATATAGAAACCTTCCCCAATCGGTGACTGTTGGTCCCCATGATCCTCTTTTTCTTATGTTAGTTGAGAGCTGAGTTAATGAGTCACCTGTCAGTGACCTCGCTGTGTGGTCTAATCCCTTCTGGCCCAGTAGTATTGATGGTCATTAGAAGAACCCGTAGTGGTTTACCGCTTCATATTTTGACAAAGCTTCATAGATCTAGAGCTGAAAATCCTTCCCTGCCATAAAGATTGTAGGTGGAGGAAATTCATTGAAAGTCCTTGAATTGACCTTTAAATGCGAGTGCGTTTTAAAACTATCTCTCTATTATAAAAGGACGGGTCTAGCCCCCTCAACGACACGTGTCTTATCAATCAGAAACGTTTATACGATAAAGACCTTCAAACGATACACCAGGGAGAAGGGAGGGAGACACCCTGGCTATTTGTTTTGTCATGGACATATTATGAGTATGATGTACCATGACGCTGCTTGTCACTGACCTTGAACTTTTATCATTGCTACGTCATGATATATACAACCGAACTTAAAGGCCAGTTCGCACAGCCACAAAGACTTCGAAAAGCCAATAACATTGTGCGTCGCGTTTTGAAAAGTGTGAACCATTTTAATATGATTTCTATTTGATATACACTAGGGTATTTAAATCACCATTCATTTGAAATACATTATGGCTGGAAGCACCTTAGAAAGATTCATTATGTAGTACATGACAACAGATATATCGAGTAAAATTATGTAATTGGTAAAATGAAAAGAAAAGGGGCTACATCTCGTTGAATATCAATGTGTGGGACTACAGACTATTAATGTGGCAAAAAGTTTGATCCACCCTTTTTTGCTATGTAACGTCATAATTTGAATTAGAGGGCAATTGAAGAGGGATCCTTTAAAATGGAAATTTCTTCGTTGATATACTTCGTAAATAATAAAAGCTAAACAAACAAAAAAACAAAAAACAAGAGCAATGCCTGAACATTTTAAAGTTAGGGTATTTTACCGTTACTACATCAGATGTACGTGCACTAGAACATAAGGTATAGCAGTGACTGCGATGTCAGTAAAATAGCCAATGGAGTACGGGTATAGCGAATGTAATTCTCTACAAGTTTGTACTTTGTAGTTATAACATAAGGCGCATGGGGGGTGGGGTACTCATTTCATAATAGTAATTTTGTTTAGACAGGGAAGCCTCACCAGCTTCAGTGTTGTTAATAGGGCCCTGCTACTATTATTACCCAAGCAATTGCCAGGTACTCATTTACACCTGGGTGGAGAGCGGCAAATGTGGATTAATGTCTTGCCGAAGGATTTTAGTGCCATGCTGAGATTTGATCCCTCAACCCTTGGATTGAGAGTCAATGGAATGAATCATTAAACCACGACACCTCCAACTACTACTACTCACATATTTTGGAGACTTCACGTATGTTAACCGCTCTCATACAGAGTAGACTCATGTAAGGAAAAGTATTTGCTTACGAACTCCACTGTAAAAGACAAGATGTGAACAGGTTATAACTTGTATTATATGCATCTTTATGTATTATCGATAAACATTTACCAACAACAAGCATGATATATAATTGTGTATTATAGTCATCGTTACTATTAAAATGATATTTGATAATATGATATTATATCTACCGTATTTCTCTTTTATATAAATAGTGTATAAATCAGACACAAAGGGTCCGAAATATTTACAAGGGATATAACAAAAGAAAAAACATTCTATACATGTGAATTACATATATATTATATGAATAGATACACATTTAATACTTGGGAATAGTCATCGTTATAATATTATCTAACAATTGCGATAAATAGAATAAGATCAAGTCTAGATTCTGTTCACTACTAGTAGGAAAATAGTTTCTAGGCCAAAACAAGTGAAAGAAAGAAAGAGGCTAAAATAGTATACGCTGCCACTGGTGTTTATTGAATAGTTATTCCATGATGAAAAATTAATGATAACTTCAATTGAAAATGAAAATCTGTGACAAAATATCACAATAATAATAGAATAAACGAAAACGAGTAGTATTCCTTAGCGTAGTGCTTAACAAGAAGAGGAAAGGAATAACAATCGTAATATTATACCTATAATCGTGATTACAGAGCTATGATTTTCCACACCCCCTTTAAACATAGAGATAGACTGGACATAATTAACTTTGAAGAAAGTTAGAATGCCACCAGAAATGTTACATAATATACAATCTCAGTTATAGTGTTCGATTAATAATGTTAGTAACTATAATGGCAACGACATTTATGATAACATTATTTATTATGATTATAACAATAATAATAATGATAATAATAATGATAATAATAATAATAATAAATATAATAGTGATAATATGACTAATTATGATGATAAATGAAATAGTAAAAACCAAGAAAATTAGTGAAAACTAATTGTCACCATGGAAAAAGAAGAATAGTACATCTAATTTTCTATCATATGTAATCACTACTTAACATTTTTTGCATAGATTTGTAGTAGGATAAGTCAATCACTCGTAAAACATCAACACATTAACAAGTCACTATATTGTGAATGCTATACAATATGTGTTGTATAATATTCAATAATCATAATGTTTTTGGCATTACTAGCAAAATCTAAAACGAATTTGAAAGTCCGAGTCACAGATAGTGGTGATTCTGTCATAAATCAAAACATACAGAAATCAAATTACTCTATCCAAATAAGTTAAGTAATAACAACATCTATCTTAACATTAGTTGTTCAGTCATTTGTTTTTCCACAAACATAGCCAACATTTGTTGTTCCTTTGAATTCCATGAATATATTGTCATTAAAAACAAAGGGCTATAACGAACATGTATATATATATAACTTGTTCATCAGAGAAATAGTTGCTTATAATGTATCTTTCCCAAATGCATTACATATCACAAAATGGCCACCATATGTTCAGTGGTGCTTTGTTTTGAGTGCAACATGTTTAGATTTGATTTGTAATTTGATAATTTGAAACATTTGAGCTTAGGCATACTGTAAAATAAAGAAAAAAATGAAGGATTGATGTGCTTTGCCGTATTATACCTATCATGGAATGTTCACATTATTTTGTATGACAAATCCACACATTGTCTGAGAACCATATATATATACAAACATTGCTACGGTTTGCATGCATTCGTATTGACCTCCCTTATGCATCAAGGAGGCTGAATTAAACACGGTCACCTTCATTTATCATTTGTAGTTTAATGATGATAATAATGATGACAATATGGTATTATCTACCCATGGGAGCAACATCAGTATTGACACTGCTCTTTCTGAGTACCCTGGAATAATTGTTACCATAACAGTACCATACACATACACCTGACTCGACGGAGAGGAACGAATATTAAGATTACATTTCCAAGTATGTACGCACTATAAGTAAGTGTCGAACCCAGGACCTGCCGTTAGATGCAAGGGTCTTTGCCAGTGAAACACAATGCTCCCATGTGGCCATAACCATAATTAATAGAAAAGTTAGTTTTCCTATCATACCAATAAAGACATGTGCATAGTTTAAGAAGCTTAACATTGAATGTACTAACAGATACCTTGATAATTAGAAATCATATATTGAGACTATTCACCGTTGATGTTGTTCGATAATAGAATCCTCGTCAGCGAGGGGGCGAAGGGGGCAATAGACGGACACACACCGCTTTGTGTCTAGTCTACAATCCGGATGACTGAGCCAAGCTAATAGTTATTAGCTATTAACTTGATTTCGACAATTTTTGATATTCTCATGCATTTCAAAAGTGAAAACACTGCAAACATTATTAAAGTCTGTTGCTAGAGTCATTAACGAGGTAGTCTTACTGTTGGCTTGCGAGCTCTGAGGTTCATTCCACAATTTCAGATACTATGCACTGAATCTCAGACACCCTTTAACGCGGGACTGCACTATTTGTAGCTACTTGCGCCCTCTATATAGCAAACAATGTCTAAACGGTACCCGCTAGTCCCCCATGACCCCCCTTTTCTTATGTTAATTGAGAGCTGATTGATGAGATAAGCACCTGTCAGTGACCAGGCAAGGAGGTTAAATCCCTCCTGGCCAAACTTGTGCCGACAGCCTTTAAATTTCAATTCCTTTCGAAAAGAAAGGACAAAAGTGTGTATTAGTTGTTCCGTCCCTAGACATTTGTTCAACTGTTCTACTATTCTCCATGACATGGAGTAACCGCGCACTTACCACACAGTCAAAGAAGCTCTGTCATCACTGCTGCTATGGAAACAAAGTCATCTCTCTCCTTTACATTCCGAGGGTATTATTAAAATGGCATGCGGCTTAGAGAGAAGACTGATCAAAAGAGACTGATATTCCACGTGCTGTGATGCTCAGAGATTCATCGCAGAAATTACATATTGGTAAGTAAAGAATATTCATGAATTCACTGCCGACATGCAAGATCATATAGGGATATACACACATTACCAAACAATACCTGCTACAACGTATGGTATCGTTGATGTTTATTTGATTTAATGTTTTGTCCCATTTGAATGAAACAGTTCTTTAATGTTGTAAATGAGAAGCGCCTTAGAATGGTTGGTACACGGATAATTCTTGAAACTTTAAAGACTTTTAATTTCAAAAATCATTGTATATGCAAAATTGTACTTGGTAACCCATCTTCTTTTTAAAAATATTGCAAACTAAAGGTAAATCTTAAAAAATTGCTACTACTATTTAACATATTCTTTAATATTGAAGCAAATACGATAAGCGGAAATTGAAATACAGCTATCATTGACCAAAGATAGGGTTATCTCTTTTAAGTCTTGTTCATACTTTCTTCGTTGATAATTCCAGTGATAATACTACCGATTGATCGTTGATACAATACTTTGCAATTTTGGCGAAAAATATTTAAGAAATGTGACACCGTCGTTAGTTCTTCGTTGAGATGATGAGGTCGCCGTCGATTACGTCAATGACATGGAGATGATGACAAGGGTCGATCCTTTGTCGATTGTTCGGATTTTTAATTGTTTTGTCCTTGGGATGTTCCAGGCGAGCCCCTAATTAGTAGACAAAACAAATACAAAACAAACAAAATGATTATTCAGAATAAACGGACGTGATGAACATGTAAATAGATGCAAACACATGCCGTATTTTTATTTCTCATTGAAAATCAATTCTACCCATATGAACACACATACGTACAGTGTTGCCCCAATATTTAATATATTTCTATATATCTCTTTCATGAAAAGAGTGTGCCAATATGGTTTATTCTTTATTTACAAAGGATAGGTCTTATGAGAACTGTATTGTTAAAACCCCATGACTCTTCAGATTTAACAATAAAGTCTTGAGAAGATATAAACTTCATCTATTAAGAATATACACCATAATGTCACAATGACTTCATGAAAACCCAAAAGGTACAAATATGAGTGAAATATATGAACCTCTAATTCATAAACTTAAAAGACAATAGATTTGACAATCTTCCACCAGATCATCTTTATTTACCACGTGGGTTTTTCGAGGAGTTCCACTAGTGCCAGAAAGCATATGTAATGGAGATCCGCAGTCCCTTTAAGAAAGAGAATATCAAATGAAACAAATATGAAAGAAGAGCCAAAGAAAAAAATACACCTATCGGAATCAATTTCGAAGTGGACTATCTTAGTACATGTTTGATATTTTCTTAATGCACTAAGATATCCGTCGATCCTAATTTGAATATCTAAATTTCATACATCAATTTTGAGTGTAGTTTGATACTTATCACGTTTCATCATGTAGTACAGTCTAACCTGCTTTAGTGACCACCGTTCTACAGAGACCTACTGTTTACTTAGATCACGTTTTTTGTTTCCCTTGAAAATGGTTTTTCATTGAAACATTTACTAAAGGAACCTGTACATAAAGACCACCTGCATATAGAGGCCACTTTTCGTGTCTCCCTTGGGTGGTCTTTATATACATGTTTCACTGTAGAATGCTTCTAATTAAAGCATATTGGACTCTCATATCACAATGTTTTTATCAAAAGACAACTATTAATGCACAAGAGGAGAAAGTTATAACATTTCTATTCCAGCTATCAATATTCACTTTATTGTCTGTATCACAATCAAAAGTGAAGACGTTCAATGAACAGAAACAATGAAGTCTCATCTGTGCACTCGATAATATATACGAAATGTTCAATGGCCTATGCTCAGGTATATGCTTGCTAAATCATACGAAGTTTATTGGGAATACGCCCGTAAAAGTTAAATCAGGCTCAAGCAATTAGTGAGAATCATTTCAACAAAATGAGATTATTTCTAGAAAACTATTTTATATAGCCTAAATGAGTCTTTAAAAAAAAAAATCTTTAAAAAAATGTTTTCAAAAACAGTCTTGGTGTAAAATTGAAACCCTAATAGCGATCTTAATAACTGTTTTCGTTAGAGACGATTACAAAAAGTTTAATGTACAAAATCAATGCATGCATACAAAACCCATTTGACCGTTCTCTGGATGATGGCGTGTAGCTTGCTGTATAAGGTGTGGGTGTGTGTGTTACTAGGTGTGTGCGTGTGTACGTGGTTGTGTATTCCTCTCTCCGAGTCTCTCCGTACGACTCCTTGAGTATTAATCATTGATCAGCATACATAGCGGAGATATGGATTCGGGCAGACATCATCGTTTAGGTCTACGTCACAACGTCCAATGGTTCACCTGTGAAGGAGAGAAAAACACAGGGCAGCCATTAGAGATCCAATATTACGCTTAGAAATATTTTAACGAGTAAAGTAATTAATTTACATTGATAAAACCGTTCGTGCACAATCTATATAACCAAAATTGTGTGGAGGCTGAGAAGGTATCAGCATGGATATATTTGTTGCACGTGATCCTTTGTGCATGAGTGGGTGTGGGTGTGTACGTACGCCCGTGTGAGTGTGCGTGAAGGTGTGGGGTTCGTGTGTGCAACACTCTGATAAGATGAATTAGATAATGGTCGGTAAAAAGATATGGTATAAATTGCGTATGAGGATGTTTCTTGAAAATAGGTTCCTGTACTTTTTGTTATTATAACGAATTATATTGAGATAATTACAATATTCCTGAAAAGATCAGAAAATTAAATTGTAATACTGGAGAAATTTGAAGAAAAAATATGCATTATACCTTTATATATTAAAAAAAAAAAAAAAAAAAAAAACATATCGCGAAATGAGCTCTTGGAAGTAAGAACTGTTAAAATACACTTTACCAATAGGCCTATCTGGAAGTTATAAGGCATTAAAGTACAATGAGAATTACGCTTTCCTTTGGAACACAGAGATGAATAGAAAGAAAGCGAGGGAGAGAGAGAGAGGGTGAGGGGAGAGAGGAGAGGTGGCTGAGAGAGAGAGAGAGAGAGATTGGGAATAAAGATGCAAAGTCCAAGTGTCTGTTGTGCAGTACGACCGGTCTTTCAATCAGGTATTTATCATTAATTACACAGATTTTCATATTTACAAACGTTTCTAGGAAGCCTACGGGCTCTTGTTTTACCATGTGAAACAGATCTTCACTCGCTAAAAAGATTCTTAAACTCATGTTCACACATTTCCTTTTTTCAAGAAATCTCCATGGCAATATTTAAGGCCCTAAAGTGTTGGAGGCCCCAAATTCGCTAAAATTTGATGGCAAAATTGCACTTAAAATGTATCATAATGTCAAAGAGGATGTCATTTAAGACACATTTCTGCCAAGACGAAAATTGATGAAAGAATACAACATTTAGATTTTCTGCGTACAACAGGAAACCCGAATTATGTATACTTTTATCAACGTTTGTCTTCAAACAATTTTTGTTTCTTTGCAAAAGTGTGTCTTAAATGTGTCTCAAATTGTGGGGCTCCAAACACTTTAGACGGAATTTAAACAATTTCAACAGTATCACGTTTACATTATAAAATCACGAGTGATACCGACAAAATAAATATTACAAACATAATTTGTCTTAACATGAGTCTTTGCTATTGTGGTTTGTTTATATGTTTAACGGTATTCCTTTGTTGACGCGGTGGTCTCATTATATTTTGTTTTTCTTTACTGTTTTCTTTCTCCAAGTTGTTTTTCTTTGTTTTCTTTTAGGAAGTAGACAATGTCGAGTGTGAACGCAGCTCTGCTCTGAAGGCCAATAGAGGGCTTCGGCGCCAGTGTGCTTGAATAACAGTCAATTATACCACAGATTCAATACCAACCATTTTGGTCTTCAGTGCCAGTTTGCAGACACAGACCCTTGGTAGTCGTTGTGCGTAATATTGTCTGCAATGTGAGACTACAGTAGGCTCTGTACTTTACACACCCCGAAACCTACGGATTTAGGCTCTGCTTGAGGCTTAAGAATTTGTAGTTGAGTGTCCAATCACAGTCTGTGCTTGTAGACTATTAAATTCATGGCTTTGTTCCTCATGCCCGCCCTTTCTCATAAAACAGGAATGTTAAAATACACTATATATGGAGGCTATATGGCAATAAAGTACAATGAGAATGTACTCCTTTGGCACACATCTAGATGAATATACATATAGCTAGGGAAGGGAAGAGGCGGCTGGGAGAGAGAGAGAGAGAGGGGAGAGAGAGAGAGAGGGAAGAGAGAGAGAGAGAGAGGGAGGTTGAGAATAACGATGCAAAATGTAAGTGTCTGTTGCGCAGTATAACAATCTTAAATGGTCTTATGATCTGTTATCATAATTAACTACACTGATTCTCACATTTTCAAGCGTTTCTGGGAAGCCTAACGGACTCTTGTTTTACTATATGAAACACAATTTTCACTCGCTTAAAATAATCTTAAACTCCTGTTAATACACGGCTTTATCTTATTTTCAAGAGATATCCATGGCAACATTAAACAATATAAATGATTTTACGTTTACATTACAAATTACGAGTGATGCCGACAAAAGACTTGTTGTCAACAACAATTAATGCAACATTAAGCTGGAAAATCTGCTCAAAGCCAATGCATTTTAAGATATCATTAGCCTAACGTTTATGTGGCACGCAAATGATTTCCTTGTGACATTCTACATTTCCAACGGGATTATTAAACCAAAGCCTTTACAAAAATATGTCGATGTTTTCAATGAAACCCAATCTATACTAGTGTTAAAATGGTTGTCATGTAGCCGATCAATACCGGGAAAGGCTAATTCAGCGAAGCTTTCTGTTACACAAATTAATTAGTGCGGTAATTGGCGGTTATTTTTTTTTGTGCCGATTGGCACACGTGGCGATCAAGCAAATGAACCTCTGAGAAACAAATCATTCCTTGATGTTCTTTCAAATTCGTTAATAGAGTGCTTTCGCAAAGAATACGGGAGAGTAGCTGTATCGCCGTACAATATGCCATTTTCGTAATGTAACCAAATTTAACGCATAATTGTCTTTGTAAAGTGCCTTAATACAAATTATTTCATCCACCTGATGAGAATAATAGTATTTCAATAGACATAATTCAAACTGCATACATTAATTGATCTCGGTTGAGTTCGTCCTCCCGTCGTCTTTGCGAAAGCGCTCTAGTGAATGAAAGGGAAAGAGACCGGCTAAAACAATTGAAACCCAGGCTTGTATTGGAATTTGCCCTCGTAATATCTCGAGAGGTCAAAAGAACAAGAGCTATAGTAAGATCTGCGAGAAAAAAAGAAAATCTATATTTAACCCAAAGTGCATCAGTCCCCCATAGCTCTCCTTAGCGGTATGTCACAACTTTCAGCTAAGCTTTTTTCTCTTTCGCAAGTCAAATTGTTTCGCTAGCAAGAGGCGCGAAAAACACACCATGCAGTCGTTTGTTCAGCCTGTAATTTGTAAACACGCATGGCTAGCGCATGTGTATTTTCAGAGAGTTTGGAACGATCAATACAGGACAGGAGAGAGGGTTTTTACGTACCAGCGCACACATAATGTGTAACACGAGAGACCATTTGTTCTCAATTCGTATATGCTAGTATTTTGAACGAAATGGCGTACTATTTTTGGAACTGCACAAAATGAATCTGTCATGAGTTACCTTGTTTGACCAATGTCTATTTTTCTGATAATAATATAAAAACAAACAAATACACAAACTAGGTGGACACACCCTAATGAGCCAAAGCCTGGCTTTCATTGTGTTTACCATTTTCCAATTATCCTCTTGTGTTTTGTATGTAGTCTCTACCTTGTTTCTCATTGAATGCTATACTTGATTTTTTTTTGTTTTATCTTCTTAATCGTTTGATTGAACTGTCATAGTTTTATAATGTTTTTATTGACCATTGACTGTTTTTTCAACATTGTTTTTAATTGATGTTGGAATTTGGAAATAAATGATTTGATTTGATTTGATTTAGTGCGGAGTCAGATTGTGAGACTAAAGTTAAATGTTTTGGTTTTTTGTAATGCAAACATTGGAACACAAGAAAGATGATTAATGTATGATTATGGAGCTAGTATAGGAAAACAGCCCATAGTGGTTAAAATGTTATGCTTTTGTTCCAAGGTAGAAACAAAAATCCACATCTTACGATTATGTTGGTCGTGATAATGTTGATGTTGATGGTAGTGATGGTGATAGTGATGGTGGTAGTATTTATAACAGAGACGATGTTGATGATGATGGAGATACTCATGGTGGTAGTGATGATGACAATGGAGTTGGTGACGGTGATGGTAGTAATGGTGATGGTGATAGTGGTAGTTTTAGTTGTAGTCATGCCAGAGATTATGATAATGGCGATGGAGATGATGATGATGATGATGATGATGATGACCGAGATGAGGATTATTGTTGTGATGACGAAGATGTTGATTGTTACTAAATGATTACGCCAAGAACATTTCTCTTACATTAAATAGGGAAAAAATGCATAACATTTCACATCTCTTCCAATTTACACTGATTTAAAGATTTGAAATTATGAGTAAACCCTTCATTATCAACATCATAAGCAATATTAAAAATGCGCCATTATATAAAACACAACAAACCAAACTAGTAAACATATTTATGCAAGGGAACATTTTAGTGAGAATATAGATCCCGCCAATAACATTAATACATGACTGATACACGGCGTAAATGATATGGCGTAAATATTCATAAATGAATGATACATGAAAATAAAAACTAAAACAACAAGAACAACAACATAAACATAAACAAACATTTCATATCTATCGCTCACTAGCAAAATGCGGATACCTGCTCGCTTAGCTCTACGCAATGTTCCACTTAGCCATGCTAAAGCACTACACCATTGTTTCCTATTGATGCTGGAAGGTGCATGTTGTGTTTTCAGCATGCCTTTACTTCCAAGATGCGATTGATTATTTTGTTGCGAGTTATTCTCTGATGTAGCCATGTAGCCTTGAAAGGACCGGGATCAATGGCTTCCCTCGCCAGGGTTCTCGAGTGACGACAGAAGCAACGCCAAAAAAACAAGATGCCATCCCGTCTTTTAGCTTTCGGAGGGGTAACAAGTCAGATAATGGGAGTGGAAGCGGGGGAGGGTGTGGCTGTTATCAGGTTATGGTCGCAGCGGGGATGATGGGGTGATGCACTGGGATGGTGGTGTTTGTGGTGGTGGTGCTAATGATGGTGATTGCATGGGTGATGCACCGTGGTGAAGATGGTGGTAGTGGTTTTGTGGGGTTGGTGTTGGTGGTAAGTTGGGGTTGCGATAATGGTGGCGATAATGATGGTAGCGATCATTGAAGAGACGTGCATTGAGTTGGTGGTAGAGGGGGTTGAGGCGGCGTTGATTTCAGTGTTGATGGTTGTATTTATTGAGGTACTGAGGATGGTGATGGAGATGTTGATGATGTTTCCTTGTTGTTGTTATTTTTGGTGGTTGATATGGGGATGACAGGAATGTATAAGATGAGGGTGTTGTGGTAGTCATTGTACTGATTATGGTGGCGGCGATTGTAATGATCATGATTAAGATGGTCATGGTGTTGATACTCGTAATGTTGGTTACTGTTGGTATTTCTGATGATGTTATTGCTGGAGGAGCTGTTGGTTGGTTTTATTTTCCGTATACAAATTCAAATACATACAAGAATAACATTTACATATATAATACAAATCAAGAATTAAAAACGGCGGGAATGCTTTATTCAGAGCCATTATTAACATGGCTTTGTTCTTCCTAGAGGTCCAGGAAGGACATAATGAAAACACGAGTGTAGATAGTAGATGGTTTTAATTTTGGTAGATGGTTGATGGTGGATGATACTGATTGTTGTAGTGGTAATGGTGGTGATGGGGATGATCGGATTATTGGTGGAGAAAGTTGTTGAGAGGATGGTACAGATTACACTGGTTGTGATGGGCTTAATGATAATGGTGATGATGGTGATGGAGTTGTTGGTGGACAAAATGGTAGAGGAAATACTGATAATAGATTTGTAAATGGAAATGGTACTGGTAATGTTGGTGGAGAAGAAAATGGTTGCAATTGTGGTGGTGGTTGCTAAGTTAAAGGATTGGGAGGGACTCTCCTTAGCCATTTGGTTATGCTGCTAATTGAAAAAAAGTAGGAATTATTCTGTTCTATTTTTTTTTTTATAAGGTGATGTGTTAGTTTTAAATGTTCTTTTTTTTAATTTTGCTTCAACAATTCTAAATAAATTGTTGCGCAGATATCGATAGAATCATGAAGGAACGCCATAATATATAACCTATAACATTATTACGTAACGTTATGCAATGTACCGATACAAATATATTTTCAAAATCATTTTTCGGACGTGAAAAGTCGTATTTATATAGAAAAACATTTTTAGTATCCTCCTCATCTGATTCTAGTGAGAATATCCCTGCCCATCGCATTGAGCCGGCCCCCGACATCCTGAAAACGCAGCAGCACCGATAAAGACACTGCCCTAATTTACAAAAAGGAGTCGTTTAAAAGTGACCTTATATAGTCCCTAGGGCGACAACTATAATGGTAACCTAAGTTCACATTTTGCACTTACCATGATCATCAAGTATGTTTTTCAAAATCCTTTTGTCGGTAATAATTGTTCTTCTCCCCTTTCATGCTCTTCCCATTATCGGCTAAGTTCTTTTGGCAATTTGCTCCTAGTAGAAGTCTATCTCTATAGTCCCTATTCTCACTTTCCCAATATTTCTTCCTCTCTCTCTTTCTCTCTCTCTCTCTCTCTCTCTCTCGCTCTCCCTCTTCCTTTCTCTCTTCGATCTACTCCTGTCTTGTCTCTTTCTCTTCCCTTTCGTGTTTAGATGGTGTGTGTATTTATACCACTTGCATATCCTCCCCCATCCATCTCCCTCTCTTCTCTTCTATTCTCTTTTCTTCTCCCTCTCTTTTCTTCTCCCCTCTCCCACTCTCTCATGTCTCCTTCTATACTTTGATCACGCATGTCTCTAAGCGCATTCTCCCCTCCCTGGGGAGCATTTCAGGCGTCTATTTACAGACGTTCACAATCATGACAATGCTGAACAAACTACATTAACTTTCGCATCCTACCGGGTAAAAATCAGGTAAAATGTCCACCACTATCACTACTTTACCCCAGCCACAGGGACGATACAAACTATAGACCGAACACAAAGGTGCATGGCTCGAATGGCCGGGTTATCGGTCGGCATTGAGGCAGGTTGCAGGTGTGACCGGGTCATCACTGTGACCTTGAATCTTTACTCTTCCGTCTTTCCCGATTCGCTATGTGCTCTAGCAAAGTCTAATAGGTGTGATTGGGATTGAAATAGCTAAAATGCCTTGCAAAAATTGTCCAGGGGGAGAGTTTCACAAAGACTAAGATCAACTTTGAGTTGGACTTAAATATGACAGGCCATTCATGCCACCGGTTGCTCTCACCATTGGTCTCTCAATTATGATCTTTAGAACATCGTTTTTTCTTCAATAATGAACTATCCCCAAAGGTAAATTCTGTAGATTTGTGACCAAGATTTGCAGGTCCCTTGAGAAACCAATGCAAGGAATGGTTAGAGGAACTAGTGGCGTGAACGGCTTGCCAAAGAAAAGTCTAACTTAAAGTCGATCTTAGTCTTTGTGAAACCCTCCCCAGGGCTTCCACGGAATGTAGAAGGCTTAGTATTAAACCAAAATGGTTTTTCCATCCGGGTGTATTTATGGCGCTATTGGACACGTCAAAAGTGATACAAACTTTATACCCATACAAATTCAATCTGGTGTGTTGATATCTATTGCAGACAGAGCTGTAACCAGATGACATTTATGATTATGGTGATGGATTATATTTTACTCCGAATCTTCGTGTCATGAAAATATTCGTAGGTCTTCTTCGTTCAAAACGTCTTCCCATCTCATTTCATTCATAATAATTACATTTTTCTTTCGTTATGCTATTCATTGAAATGCATGGAGGGTTTAATGAAGTTTAGGCTGTCTCGTAACATGGTGTGATTCGTGCGTCTTGAATCAGTTTCTGATTGTTAGGCAGACAACATATTTCTTTGGGATGAATACAAATGAATATGCTAGATGATGTTTCACATGTGACAATGTTTCATGACAGCTAGGATTTTTAATTTTCAATTGCAGGTTAATGATAAAGGGTGTATCTACAAAATGTGTGATAATGAATTCGGACATATTTCGAGAAAAAAAGAAATTTATTGTCAAATGTCATAACCTTTTTAGGAAATACCCCCGGAACATATTCAAATGCTTATATATGCCTTTAAATGCAGGGACGATCTATCCCATGGAATAGAGATGGTGCACATTACGTTTCTATATCAATATCTAGTGCATAGTGTAAAATACACATAGTTATTCTAATATCTAAAAAAGCTCAACAAATGTCAGTTTTGGGATGTTTTCGGGCTATATGACAACCCCTGGTGGAGGATTGCTAATTTTTTAAGGGTAGGACAGAACAGGGATCACATACTTACTTGATTTTGGACCATGTGATTCCCATAGAGGTCTATCCGCCAATGAATGATGGCGGCTTTACAACTCAGGTCTGCCCTTTTGCTCGGTTAGTCCTTAGTTCACAGATTGTTCCTCGAACTGACGTGGCGTGTGTCCTATGCCATGGCTGCTGGTGTATCTTTGAAGGGTGTGTGGTATTTACGTGTAATCCATGGCGACTTGCTAGGTCTTGGTGTGCAGGTTGCCTGGTAGAGTTGGAGCGCGGAATGTAGGATTAGGCCGGGTGGTTAGCACTCTTATCTTCGATCTTCATCGGAATTCGATGCTTTCCTCCAACATGGCTGTCTGTAGGTGGAGAGATAAAAGTAGTTGATAAAGAACGTAGATCTTATGCAGCAGAACCATGGAAAACTCACATCTTCACGGTTGAACTAACACTAGTGATAGGGGTTGGGTAATAGCAGAAGTAGTAGAAGGTAGTAGTAGTAGTAGTAGTAGTAATAGTAGTAGTAGAAGAGTTAGGAATCCCACCCTGGCACTAATTAAGACATTAATCTACTTTTGCCAGGAGCGTCACTACGTGACGGACATGTGCGCTATGTATTAGAAGCCACAATTATTATTAGTAGTATTAGAAGTGGTCATAGTAGAAGTAGAAGTAGTAGTAGTAGTAGTAGTAGTCGTAGCAGTAGCAGTAGTAGTAATAGTAGCAGTAGTAGTAGTAGTACTGGTAGGAGTAGAAGTAGTAAAAGTAGTATTATAAGAGGTATCATTAGTAGTAGAAGTAGTCAAAGTAGTAATAAAAGTATAAGATGTATTATTATTATCATTATTAGTAGTAGTATCAAAAGTAGTAATAAAAGTATAAGAAGTATTATTACTATCATTAGTAGTAGTAGTATCAAAAATAGTTTATAGAAGAGGTAGTAGTAGCGCTAGTAGTAGGCCTTTACTAGAAGGAGTAGGAGTAATAGTAGCAGTAGGATTTGTAGGAGGAGGAGGATAAAATGGGGGAGGAGTAGTAGTTAGCACCAGTTTTTTTAGTAATGTATGCGTCTTTAGCTATTTCTTCTACCTATATTGTATGTACGTGGGTAATAAATGGTAACCATTTAATATATATACAAAATAATATGAGAAATGATACATTGGAATTAAGTTTAATCAATCAATTTTTGCTTGTAGACGGAGATTAATAGAATGCACAAAATAGCATTACACACGTGCTAAGTGATAACAAAAGTGAATTCCATATTGTTAATAGGAAACTACCAACATAGTCAAGATAATTCAATATGATTCTGGCACAGAAAATCCTGTCACGCCCAGAATTTGTTTAAGGGGGGAAATCCTCCCATGGTACGGTGCTTACGCCAATAATTCCTCTGTATATAGTTTACATATTGAGAAGAGAACAAAAACATTATCCTTGTCCCAGTTCCGATCTTCTACACATGCTTACTGGAGCAAACTTGTGTTTTAATTACCCCCGAAAGAGTAGCCTGTATGATCGATATAGCTCTATATCATTAAAATTACATCGCGGTGGTTGAAAGAAAAATGGCGTCATGTCTGTGGCGATATCAAACGACGTGTATATCGAGCAGCATAAAGTCATCACAGTCTCATATGCACGTCAAATTACCATTTTGGCACAATTCTGATTCATTGTCATCTTATAGGCACGTCGAAATTTCAGTGATGTTGAGATGGTTACAAAAATAAACATTTACCTTTTCTTCTAAGAGAGAAGTAACAACGTCTTATTCATCCCTGAACTTAACATACACCCCCTTTCCCTTTCCTCTTTCTCTCTCTGTCTCTCTTTCTTCCTTTCTCTCTCTCTCTCTCTATCTCTTTATCTCTCTCTCTCTCTCTCTCTCTCTCTCTCTCTCTCTCTCTACCTCTACCTCTATGCCTTCACTCCTCTCTCATTCTCTGGCTCCATTCATATCCTTTTCAATTTATGTTACCGTCGTTTTCCATCTCATATTTACTTGCCTTGCCTCGCCCTCGGCCGTTACAATTGGTCTCCGAAGTTCTTAAATTGGTTTGCATTGCTTTTATAAATCTATCCTCTCCAATGTTTCAAACGATTCCTATCCTCTATTGCCTTACTGATGAAAAATCCATCAAACCTCTTCGCTTTTATTTTGGTCCCGTAAATGGTAAACGAAAAATAAATCGGATATTACAGGACAGAGTTCTAACCGTTGCCCGATTTATGTCCATTTTATCTGCTCGAATCATTTCTCCGTACCACTCTACTTTACCCCCCCCTCCCACACGCACACAATCAGTCCCAAACACATCCCTTATCTCATCACCCTTTTTTCACTTTTTTTCATGTTACTTATTCCTTCAAAAACATTTTCGTCTTTTTATTTATTATTTGTTTTCAGTTATAAAAGCTATGTCGTATTTACACATAATTCCTATATCTCTCTTTCTTGCTGTTTCTTTTCTTCTATTTCTCCCTCTGTCTGTATAATATATCCCTCTTCCCAAAAAATTCAACCCGCACATCTACTCACACACACTTTGTCTCTCCAGTTTACTCCATCTCTCTCTCTCTCTCTCTCTCTCTCTCTCTCTTTCGCTCTATTTTTAGTCATCCCTCTGCTCTTACCCACACATACACGTACACACTAATTCTCTCTCTCTCTCTCTCTCTCTCTCTCTCTCTCTCTTTCTATTGTTAAATGTTATATTGCATTTTCTATCATTTGTATTTTCACTGTCAAAAAAGCCATTGGAAGCAAAATTTCTATGTAATGTTTGCATGCAATAAAATAATCTTGAATCTTGAATCTTGAATCTTGAATCTCACACTCTCTATCAATCTTACGTTGTGTCGCTCTATAAATTCTCTCTCCTTCTGCATTTCTCACACATCCACACGCACGCACACTCCACCGCGCACACAATTTCCTCCATCTCTCTCTCTCTCTCTCTCTATCTCTCTCTCTATGTTTGTAATCCTCCCTCTTACACACACTAACACGTACACACTAATTCCTTCTCTCTCTATCAATTTTACTTTTTGTCGCTCTATAAATCCTCTCTCCTTCCATTTCTTTCTCACCCACTTGCACGCACACTCCACCGCGCACACAATTTCCTCCAACTCTCTCTCTCTCTCTTTTTAATCCTCCCTCTGCTCTTACACACGCACACAAATACACGTACACACTAATTCTCTCTCTCTCTCACTCTCTATCAATTTTACTTTTTGTCGCTCTATAAATCCTCTCTCCTTCCATTTATTTCTCACCCACTTGCACGCACACTCCACCGCGCACACAATTTCCTCTTCGAATCCTATCCACACACACAGCGCGGTTCTTGACCTACATGCAATCCTTTCTGTCCCCTATCGTTCGTTACATGTCGGGTCCTGTGCATTCATTCCTCCCTTTCAGCTGCTCCAGTGCTCCTTATGACGCACGGATAAATGCGAAAACGAGAAACCAATTACTGGTCGGTTGATGGAAAAAATTCAAATGAGCAAAGATATACTACAAGGGTATACTGCTCAATCCATTTTTTCATCAATTTTCTGAGATATAGATAGCTTTGTCGGGGGAAAAGGTTTACGCTGGATCTAAATGTATATTTTTCAACAAGTCCCACGATTCGCATAGTTATGTCTGGTATATGCTTTTGATTGGAGAAAAACATTCGTCATTACTGGCTTTTTTTGTCTGCAATAGCAATAAGCTGTGCTTCTTTAAATTGAAGATAACATACATGATAATGGTGTAGCGATAATTTTGCATTATAGGAGACTTGGGGTGATAATATATTTACTCAATTTAGTTGAGCCTACTAGATCTCATATACAGACTGCACGTTATTACCTAATGAGCAAAATGACACATAACTGAGACTATAAACTACATTTCTTTTGAGAATTATATATAATATACAATAAAAACGCAAGTTAGTCTTTTTTGTTCGTAAATTAAACGATGATAATTATCCATTTGATATCACGAACAATCCTATCTATAGTCTATGAACTATGTATGAGATTTATTGTATTAGTACCAACGCTCCTTCTTTCCCCTTTCCTTTTGTTCTCTGCAAGTCACTTTTTTATTTTTATTTTTTATTGTTGTATCTAAGTTGAGGTCTGCGGGCGCGTTAAGCTACTTTGCTTAGTTATGTAGCCATCCTGCATCTAATGTATGTTGATTAAGCATTCAATATTTTTGTTTAATTTCATTTATTATCTGTATAAAATTATATACACTTAAAATGTTGTATTAAACCATAGATGTTCATGAAAATGTATGATGAAAAAGAAAAAAAAAGATGCAGAAACCAATAAATCAAATCAAATCAAATCAAAACTATGTTCTCTTCGGATAGACTATCTGCTTGATTTACAAGTCTCACTATTTCCAAAATAAGAGAGAGTGAGCAGATCGGGATGTGTTCGACACGTAAAAATGATTAGCTCGGCAGCAGATAGAAAGGAGGAAAAGAGTAAAGAAAATAAAACCGAGTAAGAGGTGGATAGATTGTATCAAGGAGGACGGTGGAGGAATTGATTTGAAGCTGGCTACGGACAAGACGAGATGGAAAGTGGTTACGGTGAGACCCCCCCCCCCCTCCCCCATCCCCTCCTCCCCTCTCCCCATGGAGGGGACTCACGGTATGATGGTGATGACTAATTTCTAGCCCTTTTGATATATTCTGAGTGAAATATGAATTGATATGGCAGATACCGTTTACCTGTCGTTATTGTTGATGGCGAGCTACAGGATATAATGTATAGCCAATACCTCTGTTTTTATATAGATGGGTAATAATTGTCACTGATTTCAACATATAAATGTTATAGAACGGAAGTGCATGGAATTTGTTTTAAAGACAAGTTTCATTTCAATCATGGTTTAAAGGTTTAAAGTGTGGGGGTCATTAATTCGGTTCAAGTGAACATATTGGAAGCATATGCGATGCTACAATATTCAGTTGTCGCGGTTGAAATCGAATCTAAAGTTATGACATTTTAAATAATAAAGTCTTTATGTTCTATAACTCCTTCTCAAGGTCAAGATACTAATTGAGCTATAAAACATTGTTTCTTGACTAAAATCGATCGATTTCCGTTTGGAAATTATATATCACAACTACGTATTCTGAGATTTGCATGGTTGCAGCTAACATTGTACGGCCGTAGGGGCTATTTGAAACTTATCAACATTTACCGGGAGCACCGGTAAATTGTTATATTCAATTTTTCTCCAAAGCAGAAATGTTTAAGGGGCTAAATTTTCTAGCGCTTATAATACATCCACAGGGGCATCCAAATATATCGAAATTGTAAGGAATCAGGA